CGGGTGATGGCGGTTGCAAAACCGCTGCTCTCCGCGGGGGCCTTATGAGCAAGGGCTGGTGCATTCAGATGCACGGATCTGGTGGGCAGATCTCCCGAGACGGAACTAAGATTCCGATCTCGTTCAGCAACGGCGTCTGTTCTGCGCCGCTTGCATTCCACCCTTTCGTCCGGCACCGCAATGGGTAAGTCCGGTAGTGGACGAGCAGGCCGAAGAGGCCGAGCCAGGCGACGAAGTGCCGCCTGAGCTCAAAATCCATGCTCCCATTCGCCCGACGCGAAAAGAGTTTGAAGAGCATGCTGTTTCACACTTCCCTTTTAGGTCTTGGTGTGAAGCCTGTGTAAGGGGAAAAGCTAAGGCAAACCCCCACAGGAAGATAGACCACACCGATGAGACAACCCCAGTAGTGACTGTAGACTACTGTTTCATGAATTCACGAACTGATGATGTAGTTTTGGACGAGAAGACCCATGCACCAATTCTTGTTGTCAGAGATCGATGGACGAAGCATCTTTTTGCTCATGTGTTGCCCTATAAAGGTGTGACAAAAGGTCCATATGGATCCAAAGTACTTTTGAACGACATCAAGAAACTAGGATACTCCAAACTGATCATTCGACATGATCCTGAACCTGCTCTCACCTCTGTTGTTGAGGCAGTAAAGAACGGGTTTGAAGGAACCCTGATCATTGAGAAGAGCCCGAAAGGAGTCAAAGAATCCAAGGGAGAGATTGAACGAGCAGTTCAAACCTTGGAAGGACAAGCCAGGACTCTTCGAGCCGCAATCGAGTCGAACTATGGTGAGAAACTTCCTGACGCTTCACCTGTTTTGACTTGGTTGGTTGAACACGCATCCACTGTCTACAACTTGTTTTTCCGATCTACCGAACTTCAAGACGGAAAGACTCCGTATTCACGACTTCGTGGACGTGAATGGAAAGTAGCAATTCCACCTTTTGGTGAGGCCATCGAATACCTCAAGAGAGGTCACAAGTTCGAGGCCCAATGGACCAAAGGAATTTTTCTAGGAGTGAAAGACACCACCACAGAGAAGATAGTAGGAAATTCCACAGGCGTTTTCACAGTGCAGTCCATTCGAAGAAAGCCAGAAGAAGATCGATATGATTCAGAGTTGCTGAAATCGATCACTGGGATTCCCTGGGATCCTCAAGCAATTCGCGAAGAACCAGCGATTGCAGCCCCAAGGGAACCAATCATTGCCAGTCCAAGTGGTGAAGCTTTAGTTCAACCACCGGCAATCGATGACAAGAAAAGAAAACTGAGAAGACTTTACATCACCAAGAAAGACCTGGAAAAGTTTGGGTATACTGCAGGTTGCCCAGCTTGTGATGCCACACAGATTGGCAAGAGATCTACAGGCATCCATCACACCAACAGGTGTCGAGACAGACTTGAAGAGAGCATCAGAGGAGAAGAAGAAGAGAACCCAAGAGTAGCAAGACATGAAAGCCGAGTTGGAGAGGCAATCACTGGCATGCCACAACCCGTCAGTGGCAAGAGACCTCAAATCCTTCATGGATACGAAAGCAAAAGACCATCGGGAGTTCCCGATTCGTGTCGAGTGTTCGCACGACTTGACGTTGAAGCTTACTGTTTTCAAACCACTATGCCAGGAGGACCTGATTGGTCTACCGTCTGGCACCGAGTCACAAGAAACCATGCAAACAATGCAATCATTGAGAGTGGAGTCATGACAACAGACCTTCCACCAGAGATACTCAATGGAGCATTACCACACAAGATGGACATTGTGACAGAACTTTGGTACGAACCAGAAGCAGCACCACCAACACCAGGCACAGCATCAGCTTCAGCATCAGGTATTCGCAGACCACGCGAACCTGAACCACATGGAGAAAAGAGAGAACACGAAGAACAACATGAACCAGCAGGATCACCTACAGCAAAAGCCAGAGTAGATAGAGACAAGAAGAGAAAGGCAGAAAGCGAACATGAAGATGAAGCCGAGAGAACAAGAGACATCCAGAGCATCGAGATGGCTCTAGAAAGCCTAATCCTAGAAGACAGAGAGAGAGTGCTATCTAGCATCGACCCAGAGAAACCAGTGTGTGAAGAGAAGATCCCACTGCCAGAAGAAATGGCAGAAGAGGCAAAAGACTGGTGGTACTATGATGACATCAGTGGAAAAGAGCTTCTACCTGAGAAGGTAGAGAAAGCCAGAAAAGATGAGATCGACATTGTCGAATCAATGGGAGTCTGGGAGAAGATCCCAAGAAGCAAAGTTCCAAAAGGAACCCAAATCATTGGAACTCGATGGGTAGATGTGAACAAGCAAGATGAAACCAATCCTCTCTATAGAAGTCGATTGGTAGCGCAAGAGATCAAAAGAGGCTCAGGTTTCGACGAATTTTTCGCAGCCATGCCGAGCCTAGCAGCTTTGAAGCTACTGCTAACCATTGCAGTCAGCGACAGCCTTCCATTGGAGAAAGGCGAAAGAAGAAAAGCAAAACAATCTTTCCTAGGATTTTTAGATGTGAAGAGAGCTCATTTCTACTCCAAAGCAACAAGAGAACTCTATGTTGAAATTCCATCAGAAGGCAAGAAGCCAGAAGATGGAGATGTGGTAGGAAGATTGGTCAGAAGCCTATACGGCACCAGAGACGCACCCATGAATTGGGAGCTGACCATTGCAGAGTTTATGAAGAAGCTAGGATTTGTTCAAGGCAAGTCCAACCCATGTATCTACTACCATGCATCAGAGAACTTCGAACAGAGGTGCATGGAGACGATTTCACGACAGTTGGAAGTTTTGATGACATCAAATGGTTTCACACTTCAGCAGCCAAAGAATGGCAAGTTGTGGAACGAGGCATTCTTGGTCCACCAGGTTCACCAAAGGCAAGCCAACAGATCAGAGTGCTGAATCGCATCATCACCTGGTCAAATGAAGGCATTTGGTGGGAACCAGATCCAAGACATGCAGAGTTGATCATCAAGTGGTTAGGCACTGGTCAACCAGGCAAGGTCAAGACCCCTTTGGCCAAGCCAAGTCAAGAGGAACTCCAACACGAAGAAGTTCCGCTGAGTGCCGAAGATGCAACGATGTATAGATCTACTGCTATGAGAGCCGCGTATTTGGCACAGGATCGACCTGATCTGCAAACTGCAACGCGCTCTTTGGCACAAGGTCTACAGAACCCAACATCGAGGCACTGGAATATGCTGAAACAATTGGCTCGATATGTCAGGTATCGACCAAGAGTTGCACAGTTGTTTCCAAACCAAAGCGCCTGCAACCCCTTCAACATGTGGTCAGACGCCGACCATGCAGGTTGCGTAAGGACACAAAAGAGTGTGTCAGGAGGCGTGCTCATGGCCAACAAATGCTGTCTTACAACATACAGCAAAGGCCAAGGAGTTGTCTCCCTGAGCAGTGGCGAATCCGAGTACTACGGACTTGTTTCTGGAGCATGTCAAATGCTTGGAATCGCATCAACAGCAAGAGACTGGGGATTGTTTCCCAGCAAAGAGGTGACAATGGACGCTTCCGCTGGCATCGCCATGGGAAACCGTCGAGGCTTGGGACGAGCTAAACATGTTGACACTCAGTACCACTGGGTACAAGAGCGTACAGCAAAGAAAGAGTTTCGTCTCAAGAAAGAAGGCACCGACCGAATGTTGGCCGACGTGCTAACGAAAGCTGTCACCGAAGAGAAAATGACTACAGCTATGAAAGGCATGAACTTCCACTACCTGGAAGGTGAACATGAGTTGACTCTGAAAGCGTGAACGGCTTGAGCTAGAGTAGGTACTTCTACAAGACCAAGATGTACTGAAGGGCTATGGGCTAATTCACTAAAAGTGCTAATCCTGACTCGGTTAACATCTCCCAGAAGTTAAACTCGGGAGGCGTGATCAGATGTAGCACCAGTTACATGTACATGACATAGCTTGTATAGATGTATGTTTCACTGCAGCCGTTTGTGGTTTACTTTTGTGTTCATTTCACTACCAGAGCTACGCTTGGAGTGGAGCTAAAAGTGGGCCTAAGCTTCTACTACAACCTTTGGGACAGTGACTTGGGGTCACAGAGTTTAAGAGCCTAAATTCTCCGTTCAGTTTCAGACCATTTAGGTGATTGGCAGGCCAAAAAGGGATGTTTACCAGGGAACAAAGTTTTGACCCACAGCCAAGCCACAGCCAGGCCGTTCCCCATCCTCAGGGCCAATGTACTTGGCAAGAATGTAGCCTACTACTTTTCCGCCGCGAAGTGCCGGAGAGAGAAGACCACTGTCGCCACGAAGTTTTTGGCAGATCCATGCGGTGCATGGAATCATGCGGCTGCTGAGCCCAAAAAGCAAACCGGAAGTCGTTGGCGACCCACCCAAAACCTCGTTCCCTGCCTTCCCTCGCCGCCAGCTCGCCCAAGCCCTCCGATCGCCGCGACCGCGGCTCGGGAGATCGTCTGGGCATCTCTTCCGCAAGCAGGCAAGGCGAGGCCCGATGAGGCGAGGCGACCTGGGCGGTGCAGAGCTCGGTGGATTCGCCGGTCGCCCCTGTTGAGGTGTTGAGGTGGAGAGCACACCAACTGACATGAAGTCAAGCCTGTTCGCCCGAGAAGAGATGGCTACCACGATTTGGTGGGAAGAAGCAAAGCACATCCTTTGTGGAAGAACACCCAGCTACTGGATGTTAGGATTGGTTTATGGGGTCAGCATAGGAACTGTTGAGGTAACCCCCGTCGCAAGAAATAACTTGGCGGCCTTAGGCATCTGAGAAGGTAGAGATTGGGGCACTTCTTTTGGGGAATTTATATCATATCCATTGCAACCTTCTTGCATCAAAAGCAGTAGCAAGATATGCCATGACTTGGTTGTAGTGCTTCCCGCGTTCGAAAACCACTTGGTTGTATCTCCGTCTTAAGGTGTGGACAGTGGGTTTTCAAGAACGGCAGTGGAGTAGCTCCATGCAATGCTGGATTGAAGCTCAGAAGCAGTCAGAAGCAGGTCTCTCTTGAGATGCCATGGAGTTGGGATGCCTCGTTGCTGGCGGTTTGGCTGATCTGGAGTGTGAGCAGTGATCCACTGGCGGATGCGGGAGAGCATGGAGACCTCACAAAGGTGGCAGCCATTGGGTGGAACAGCGCTTGGATTTGGGGTGGATTAGAAAGTGATCTTCGACCCATGCTTTTATGTGGCGCTTGTAGTAGTAGGCAGTAGGTGTCAGATCTTTTTGAAGGAGGTATGTGGTAGACCCACGCTTTTCTTTTTACTTTCAAACATGACTTGATCGACTCTGGGCGCCACTGGCTAGACCTCTGACCAGGTGACGCAGCCGGTTTACGTCGACATCGCGAGTGGTCTGGTCTCCGAGTTTCGCACCACGCCAGCGCCGTGGGCGGCGGGGAATCCGGAGATGGAGTGGTTGGGCACTGGGAGATCGGACGCGGCCGGGCGAACGGCCCTGCATTGGGCTGCACGTTGGGGTGACGTAGAGGTGGTGGAGTGGTTGCTGAGCCAGCAAGGGTCGAAACCTGAGGTGGAAGCGAAGGATCGAGTGGGCCAAAGGGCACTTCATTTCGCTGCGAAGTATGATCACTTGGAGGTGGTCAAGAGTCTTGTGAACCAAGGAGCGGATCTAAATGCTCAAGATGAGGATGGCTGGACACCACTGCATGGGGCTGCTGAATATGGCCTCGTGGACGTGGTGAAGTGGCTCCAAAGCCATGGAGCCGACTCAGATGTTCAGGATCGGCGTGGCCGCACAGCTCTTCATCATGCAGCCACCACTGGACAGCTGAAAACGGTGCAGTGGCTGATGAGGCATGGAGCCAGTGTCCACTTGAAGGATTGGGAGGGGCTCACTGCGTTGGGGGTGGCGGCCACGGCAGGACGCTGGGAGATCGTCGAGGTGCTGGCGAATCGGACGCAGATGGTTGGGGGAAGGGAGGATGTGAATGCTCTGATGGCCTTCCAGTTGGCGGGCAAGGAAGGTCAGTGGGGTGTCGCTAGAAGATTGAAGGATCGTTTGGCTGCTGGTGGCACAGCAGTGGTTCTGATGGAAGCGAATGGCAACTGTGGACAGAGACCTGGTCTGGCTGAGCTAATTTGCTCTCAAAACAAGCTCACGAACTTGATGCCAGGATGCCTGCAAGACATCACCAAGGACGTGGGGCCAGGCTGTTTGATTTATGGTCTACAAAAAGAAATTGAAGTCCCGGTGTTAGTTTTGTGTGGTTAAACTGGAGCCACGTCTTCATGCATATCAGTCATGTTTTTGATCAACTTCGCAAGTTGGTGGGTTCCAAGCCAACCTTCACACCATCCCCATCATCCACAACACTGCAAAAGGAGGCAGCCGCATGTTGGCTACAGCTGGGTGGGAACCCTTTGGCCCACTCCAGTTCGGGCACGCCGTACGTCCTCCTTCTGGGCGACGCTGCGACGAAAGGCTTCTGGCTTCAGCAGGTAGGTTGGACATCCGCCATGCTCCACATCTTCTCCAGTCCGCTCGCCTGGTCTTTGCTCCTCACTGCCCTGGGCCTCTCTGCCGCCCTGCTCCTCCTGCGGGGCCCTCGACCTTGCGACGTCGACGGCGCGCCGGACGGCTTCGAGGCTGGGGTGCGGAAGCTGATCGCCCGAACGCAGCGAGGCTCGCGCGCACCGGCGCGGTGGGGCTGGTGGTTCCGGTGGTTGGAGGCGATGTGCAACGTGGTGATCTGTGCGGTGTCTGGTCCGCTGGTCCGCTGGTCCGCCGGTCCGCCGGTCCGCCGGTTCGCCGGTCCGCGGGTCCGCTGGTCCGCCGGTCCGCTGGTCGCTGGTCCGCCGGTTCGCCGGTCCGCCGGTTCGCCGGTCCGCTGGTCCGCCGGTCCGCTTGTCCGCTGGTCCGCCGGTCCGCTGGTCCGCCGTCCGCCGGTCCGCTGGTCCGCCGGTCCGCTGGTCCGCTGGTCCGCTGGTCCGCGGTCCGCTGCTCCCCTCCTCTCATGGATGCGCTCGTCCAGTGGTCCGGTCTGCGGTTCCGGTGGTCTATAAACTGGACATGGAAAGATTTTTTTGTTCTTCAGACAGCAACGTTAGGCAGCGTCTGACAATCAACCTCGTTGGGCCTGCCCTGCAAGCATGATGCGGCGGAACGGAAGCGCCTCACCTATACCTGGGGCTTGAAGCCGAAAATCAGTAACAGAAGTCACCCTCATTGAACTGAAGTGATCATGCTTTGGAATGCCCACCAGAATCTCTGATGTACACCGTGCACCCTGCTTTTTCCAAACTTCAACGCCCCCATCCCTGGCCACCGCTCCTGCTAGTCTTGCACCACAGTGTAGGCGCAAGGTCTGCCTACGCTGCTGTTGTGGCTGACAGGTCTGCAATTAAGGGAGACAAGTTCGGATCTAGATTGTCATGACCAAATTCTGGGAAGGGCTCGGCGGGTGGAATACCTACGGGTGGATTGGTTTCACGCAGGTTTTGCAGGACCCACTTGGCTGCCTGCACCTGAACAACCAAACACCTGCGGATGAGCTCTTTTCACACTTCCTTAGCGACTGTTGTATATCTCCACAACGGCTCACTCCTCATCTCTGGGCCGTTTGCGCCGATCTTCCTGGCGCTTCCTTTCCTGGTTGCTGGATGCTTTCTCCATGGCGGCCACCAGCTCCCGCAAAGTCAGCCCACAAGCCCTCATCAATTCATTGTGGTACTTCACCTTGCCCTGCGCTGTGTCTGGGATCACTTTCAAACACAAAGTCTCACCCTGGAGCTGAAGGATGCTGGAATGCTGCTCTGCGGCTGCCGCCATGACCGCTGTCCATTTCTCTTTCGGAAGCGCTTTGCGGCGGCCCTGCTCCCTGCTGGTGCGCATTTTGTCACACGCTTCTTTGCGAGTCATCTTTGGCTTGCCGGTCAGCAAGGTGTGCTTCAGGATTGCCCGGTCTGTCCAGTGACGGCTGAAGAGACCGTCAGGCTGGACTGTGACGCCATTCTCGCCAAAACCAAAATCACTTGCCCGCACTTCATCAAGAACCAGCGGCTTTTCGCCTGCGGGTGGATCTTGGGGCGGTAGGTCCTCCACGACTTCGGCCACGCTGTCTGGAGGCCTTTCAAGCGAGTTGGGCCCAGGTTCCGCATCTTCTTCTTCAGGTTCAAGTTCAAATTCTTCTTCCTCGCCAGCTTGGGGAAGTCGAAGTCCGGGACCATGCTGGGTCGAAGCAAAATCTTCCGTCTGATAAGGAACACGCAAAGTTGCCAAATCGAAAGCAGGTTGCGGACTTGGCTGCTGGGGAAAATGGTCTGGGCTAGCGGCTGCATCTCCCAAAGCAATATGCTTCAGCTTCTGGACCTGAATTCGCGAATATAGCGCCAACCACAGATCTTGGGTTTTTGAAAATAAACAAACAAGAAACAAAGTGCCAAGAAACCAATTGGAGCAGAGCATAGGCCCTTTGGCAATGATCTGGAGTGACCTGCAAATCCCTCCGTCCAAGAGCTTCAACACTGTGCGCACCCACAAAGATTTCAAACACCAGGAGCAAAGCCGCCAAAACTCCCACTTGCCACGGAGCGGCTCCAAAGCGAGCGCCACCCTGAACATCCCCTGATTCGCGAGACAGATGGGCTTGCACATTCATTCCACCTTGGTAGGACATGTGCCAAGACTCCGCCTCCGGAGTGAGGGCAATGACTTGGTGAGGTTGGTCGAAGTAGGCAGTGACTCGGGAGACAGCGGCCGTCAGGGAGCACTCTGCTGGAATGGCAAAGCTTCTGTTGGCAACGCGCCACTGAGCTTCAAACCCAGACGTCGACGCAGGAGAACGTTTGAACCGTAGGCGGCTCATCTTGCCATCCAAGAGCCTCACAGGGTACCCATCTTCTGATGGGACATAGTCGCCCGCTGCATTCGCTGGGTGAGCTGCACTGCTTTTTCATCTTCAAGGCCAACGTCTTTCCACTCCTGAGCAGCGGCATCTGGCGAAGCAGCCTCTTTGGCTATGCCCAGCAGTTCCGCAATTTCGGCTGTGAGAGGAACCCATCGGTGCCGGGAAACTCCTGCGCTAAGCAAATCCAGCGAAGAATGTGAGCAGATTTTACAGAATCCAAAACGCTTTAACACAACACCCATCGCGCAGAACACCTGTCCTGGAGGGCAACAGAAATCTGCCGGCATGTCTTCATGCGGCTGCACAGGGCGGCCAGTGGAGATGACAAACCGTTCTTTGGTGGAAGCTGCGTGGCAACCAACCTCACCTCTTTCCATAGGGATGTATTGCGCAGGGTGCATATTGCAAGTGATCCCCATGCTAACGGTTCTAGCAAGCTTCTCTCCATAGCTCCCATTTGTTTTCGTGGCGCGAGCGCTGGTTCCAAACTGCAAGAGCTTGTTGAAGGCACTCTGGTACGGGTTCACCCTTGCCTTGGCTTTCTCCTTGGATGCAGGCCCATCGGACAAGAGACCCAAGCTGAGCAGGAAGTCGTAGGCCTCATCAAAATTCCCCAGCAAGCCAAACCAGCATCGGCCAGTCCAGTCTCCGGGCAACTTGTCAGCATTTCGGACCTGGTTCCAATCGCCCGAGCATCGATGGAACCACTCCTCAGGTGTTGCGCTGGCAACCATTGCGGAGAATAGCTTCGGCTTCAACCTGGCACAAATGGCGGGCTCGTTTTTGGTTAGAATTCAACACCTAAAACTTCCCAGCCCCCTGTTTCAACAGCCCGCTCACACCTGTGCTGCACTGGCGCAGGAGCGCCTTCTTCCACACAATATGTCGCCAGCTTGGACTCCGCGTTCGTCAAGATGACTGCGTCCAACTCCTGCCCACAAGCCTCTGCATGTCCTGTCAAGGATGATTTTCTCGTCTGGGCGTAGTTGACATTAATAGCAACCAACGTCAAAGGCGATGGCGAGGTAGCAAAGACAGCCACTTTGGCACCGTTCACAAGAGCACACATCAGCGACAAGCAGCGGAGGGCGTAAGGAAATTCTGCATGGGCTGCCCTAACAGCGTATGTTTGGCAGAAGCGGTGCCCAGCTTCTCCAAGGATGTAGCTTGGGTCGAAGCACTTGTCCACTTCATCCCACATCAAATTCATGGCAGGGATGTACTGTCTGTCTTCGTGGGCTCCAGACAAGGGCCCCAGAACTGACGACATGGCTTGGCCGCGCCACCGAGCTCAGAGCAGACGCGGCTGTCACGGCCATCATGCAAGGCTTTGTTGGAACACTTTAGTCAGACTTAGTCGAAGCTACGCAAAACAGTTTGGTTTCAAAGCGAGGCATCTGCACATGCGCACTGACAGAGTCATGTACCGCGTGATATGTAGCCGTTTGAAGCAACAGGTCGATGCAATGAGCGGGTACGACACACCATGAATTTTCCATTCCACAGCTTCGATCCAGTCTATAAGGCACAGGCCGTGCTTGAAATCCTAAATCTTAACTTTAGACTGTCAGTCGGTCCCTTCCACTGCCGCAGAGCCGGCGACCTCCTCTGGTCTGTAGCCTCCTTGGAGTATAATTTCATTGTGGCTCCACGCCATATCGAGCAAGAAGAATTGGAAGCCGTGCTTGTTCATGTGCTTGGTTTGGTGCTTGTACTTGCTCAACCAGGTAAAAGTGAATTCACAGACCGAAGTCCGAATGCCTTGAAGAAGAGAAGCGTTTGCAGGCAAGGCTGGGTCGCACGTCTCTTTACACCAAGCATCGGTATGGCCAGCCATGTGGAACTTGTCGCACACGTACTTCATCTCTGGCGGGGCTATCTGGGCAGCAGCTTCTGAATCCTGCGCATGGGCAATATAAAACGTGAAACGCATTCACGCAAGAAACAACAGAACACTAGCACGGTGCTTATAGCTCTCACTGCCCAAAGAATTTCGTGGCTTTGTCATCCCCTTTGAGTTTCCGTCCTGGGCGCGACGAGCCGCGTACTTGTGCAAATGGCAAGCATCATCGTGGACCACCACGCGAAGGGACGGCAAGAGGGCTTTCACAGACGCCAGACATAGGTATCTCTGGCTCAACGACTCACAGCCGTAGATTTCTTGCACGTGCAAAATCAAACCCTCAGACAAACACGCGCACAACATTCCAGCAGATTTGGCAAGCTGCCTTTGAGCAGCGCTGCCTTCCTTGTGTGTGCAGCAAGTCACGCACTGCAAATCTGTTGGGTCGGACGAGCGCCCAATCTCTTGCAACGTTAAACTCGCAAGCATCGAAGGTCCAAGCGATGAGGAAGAGCCGCCTCTGCCGTCTGCCTCCTCTTCTCGCCGTGGGCGTTTGCTGGGTTTCAATTTCGCCTCGCCCACTTGCTGCAAATAGTTGGACAGGACAGACGCTGGAACTGCAGAATCGGATACCCAAGCTTCTCTTTGAGGCTCCACAGTCTCTTTCAGCAAGACCATCAAGCACTGTCCGTCATTGATGAGCTTGTGCTGAAGAACGGTCACTTCCTGAGGCAGAGTGGCTGAAAAAGAAAAACTTTACCCATTTTTGCGGTTGGAAATGCTTTGCCCCCCCGCCTGGAATTGATTATCTTGACTGCAATGGGCGGGACAGAAGCATCTCCGAAAAGCGGGAGTATTGGCACAGTTGTGGCGGACCACCCGGCGCAATTCCTTGGAAAAAGTTCCTCCGGCCAATGAGGCTCCGCAAACAGCTCGACGATTTTTTGCATTGCCATCGAGCACAACAACGTCACAGCGCATCGTGGCTTTTTGGGCTTCCTCCAAGGTAGTCCTGCCAAATTCTCTTTGCAACTGCGGCAAGAATAAGCCAATCATGTCCTCCATGGGCCGCAAGAAATCAAAAGATGCTAGGTCCAAATTGCTTTGGTGCACCCGGGTGAGGAGACGCCAAGCAAACCACCCCTGGCTAATGAGAAGCCGCAATCGAGCTGTTGGTAAGAGATGGAGCTGGGAATTGTAAGCTGCCTGCGCGCCGAGCACATCTGCTTCACTTGTGAAAGACGCATGTTGCCTCACCATGCGTACGTGAAACTGTTGCAACCAGGGGACACTGAAGCCGAAGGTGGCGGACAACATGAAGCAGTTCAACTCAGGTAGCTCTCCTGCAAAATGATGGCACCCACTCCGCACGGTATAGTTGTACCACAGCAGCACACCAAAGTCTGGACAGGAGGATCGCCGACATCTCAGTGGAATGTGTTGTTTCTGGACCAAACCCGACAGATCTACGACGATAGCTGCAGCAGCGGAGCTCCGACATTCAGCAAGTCGTCCTCCGCACCCAGGGCAAGCAACAAGCTGCGGCACCAATTCTTGAGCTTTGCTTTCCCGGCCGAAAACAGCAACCCTTTGGTTGAAGAGCGGTTCTAATCTGGTCGCCAAATGATGGACTAGTTCTGGCGAAATTTGCGCAGCCGGGTCAGCGTCACAAATGGCTTGCGCAAGGACCCCATGGCACTGATGCTGTGGATTCGTCATTGCAGCTGCATGAAAAAAGAAAATGCTAGATTGATGTTTGCTGATAGCAGGGTGGCTTGCGGGTCTCGCGCTTGCAATCGGCAACTTGCATACTTGCATGCTGGTTCAAAAGCAGAAGCACGGTAGACGTTTGCAAGTCATGTTTTCGACCGCGGTTGCAATCATGCGCCGATGAAAGAAATCAAGAGACAAGGCCAGCAGCTTGAGGATGAAAGAAGACGATGCGGCCAAGTGAAAAGGCTCATGCCATGGGCGACACAGGCAGCAAGCTGTTGGCAAAGCGATTGACTTCATTAGTACAGCCAGACGAAACTCCCACCGCGCCTCCAAATGCCAAGCGGCGAAGCAGCAAGGCGAAGCCTGACCAAGGACGCATTGAGTGTCCCGGGCTGAAACTCAGTAGTAGCAGCAAAAACAACAAGAACAACAACCAAAACACCCATCACCACCACCATTATTATCTCCGCTGGTCCGCTGGCCTGTTGGTGGCGCAGGCAAGGGTGGGAAGGGTGGGACTCTATGTCAAGTGCTGGCGCCCGCTGGTCCGCTTAGCCGCTATCCGCTGGTCGTTGCCTGCACTGCTGGTCCGCTCGTCCGCTGGTCGCTGCTCCGCTGGTCCGCCGAAGCTGGTTCGCCAGCCTGCTGGTCCGCCGGTCCGCTGGTCCGCCGGTCCGCCGGTCCGCGGGTCC